TGTTGCTATTAACTTATACAGCGTTCAAACTTTCGAACAATGATGATGTTGAAATGATGGTTGAAGCTCAAAGTAATTATTCAGACGCCGCTATTGAGATGTATGCACATTTTGTTCAAGTGATTGATGTTCGGGGTCAATCATTAAGCTCCCACAATAGGATGGCTGAACAAGTTGATCAAGTTGACAGCCCGACTACAGTAATGTGTAATGATTTTAATGCCATAATGGGGAGACATTCATCCGCAACTCCTTACGATATGTACCGAGGTGGGTTCACGAATAATCTGTATGGCAACACCGCGTCCAGTTCATGGGGAAGGCATTTATCTGCAAATTTCTTTGATCATATGGAGATGCCATCGACGCAACCATCTGTGCAGTTTTCATTTGACACGATGGCTTCAAGCTCTAGGGGAGGCATTCGACTGCGAGTTTTTTCGATCTCAATGTCGATATGCCTTTCAGTTCAAGGGGAAGACGTACAAGTAGTATGTTCTTCGACCTAAATGTGGAGAGCATGGAGGAACCATCATCTCCACCAGAAGAACCGCTTCGTGAGCCTGGTGTGGATGGTGCTGAGACTCTACTATTCATTCACCCAGAATCGACGCAATTCAACTTCGATGATGATGAAGTTCCAGGAAATGTGTCATAAACTGACCCTCCTGCACATATATATGAAGCTGATTATGGTGCAATGTACGAGCCAGAATTTGCGGATATGCCTCATCTCGGTGACTATGGATATTACTCATTAATAAATAATGGTGAGTTATCTTTAGGCATTGAGTTTTTAAGCAAAGAAAAAGCGGTGATGGCTATAAAAAATTACAATATCCGTAATTCAGTTCAGTCCAGAGTAAACCCGATCGACGACCGAAAAATATGTATGCTACTGTGCCTGACGCGAAAACGAATGCAAATGGATGATTCGCGTATCGAAAATGAAAAGGAAAAACAACATATGTGAACTAACAGTATACAACGGTCCTTACAAATGTTGTGCTGGAGGGGTCAACCAAGATCATCCCAACTTGGACTCTGAAGTGATATGCAAAGTCATCATGCCCATGGTAAAAGCAAACTCTCATATAGCTGTTGCAGTGTTGATTTCAGCTATACAATCGCAGTATGGGTACACTGTCTCCTATAAAAAAGCTTGGTTGGCAAAACAAAATACCATTGTCAAACTTCATGGCGAATGAGATTCATCTTACAACGAACTTCCAGGCTGGTTTAGGCTGGTGCGGAGGTTGAATCTTGGGATAATTGTGGACTTCGAAACCTCCTATGCATACCATAATGATCGAGTTCTCCGCGATCGATGCCAATTCTACCCGGGTTTTTTGGACTTACACACAGTGCATTAATGTTGTCAAATATTGCAAGCTTGTAGTCCAGATCGACGGGACTTTCTTGTATGGAAAATACAAGCAAGTTTTATTATTGACAGTTGTCCAAGATGGAAATCGCAACATTCTTCCAGTTGCTTTTGCTCTTGTCGAAGGAGAAGATACAAATTCTTGGGCTTTTTTCCTCCGAAATTTACGTGCACATGTTATCACGAGGGAAAAAATACAGAGTTACCGCGACCTCTTCAAGGGATTGAAGTTGTGTCGTTAAGAGTAAATCTAAGGGACAGAACGTGCGACTGTAGGTTTTTTCAAGCTCTGAAGTATTCATGCTCTCATGTGATAGCAACTTGCTCGCATACACGTCAAGACTATAACCATTTTGTGAATCCCGTATACCTACTATCTGAAGTTTTTAAGGTATACAAATTTGAGTTTCCCCCCATAGGTAATGACAAAGGCCCTGATGAGGTTCAAGATTGACTTCCGATTGTACCAAATCCGAGTTTATTGAGGGAGTGTGGTCGTCCAAAATCCAATCGAATTCATTGTGATATGAATATTCGAGAAAGATCTAGACAAGACAGAAGATGTAGACATTGTAGAAACCCGAGACATACTAGAAAAACATGTCTAACTCTGTTGTCATCAAGTAACAATTGATGAGGAAATGATGTATTTGTTTATCAAATAATAATTCTTGTACTTTAATTTGCATTTACTTCAAGTTAATGTCATTCGATAATCGATGATAAAGATTAAAAAATGAACACAATCATTAAATTTTATTAAACTAATAACAATTTGGTATTTGAATATAATTTTAAATATAACAAACTTACAATAAGTATTAAATGGTAAATGATAACCAAATTACAATAATTGATATTAAATTGTAATAAACAAAATGAACTGAAATACATTAAAAAAAGTACAACAAATTTAACAAAATAAAATAAGTATTAAATGAGAAATAATAAAAAATTACAATTTAACAAAATAAAGTAAATACAAATATAATAAAAATAAAAATCTATCGGTGCCTGCGACGCGAATGTGTTCCGCAAGGCGATGATTGTCAGTTTCGAGGAGGATTTTTTCGTATCACTGGTTCTGACTCCTCGCTGTCATCATCGTCGTCGTCATCGTTCTGAGCAGGTACATTAGGTTGATGAGGAACTGATGAAGATGAAACACCTCCATAGAATAAGGACCCTGGAGGTGTATAACTGACTATCTCACCAGCCTACGAAAACTGAGAAAACTCATAAAACCCAGACATTACTGAGTGTGAAAACTGTACAGGAGGTGTCTGTGTTGCGAACATGGGTGATGAGACTGAACCCGCCAAATATCTAGCATATGAACCCCAATTCGAATCTGCAAACATAGACCCATAATAGCCTCCAGGAGGGATCATCTGTGACGGCGGCGACGACGAGGTCATAAAACCAGGCGAAGACGGTGGCGACGGCGACATCTGGTAATGGAAAGGCGATGACGGCATCATATATGACTGCGGTGGCTGCTGTGAAGGTCATGTTGGTGCAGCTGAGGATGAACCGAAAGCACCTGTTCTTCGTCCACGAGTTGAGGGACGATGGTGCTGTGTCGGATCACGTCTCTGTCGACGTCGCAGAAAGGTCTGCCCTCGTGCATCCTCGGGAAGCAGAAACGGTTTCTCATTACTGTTGAACCACTCATAATAACCATCAGCAAACATCAAGAGGTCATAAAAAATGGGCTCTCTACGGGAAAGACGCCGATGTCGATCCTCTCACAACACGACCAACTCATGATGCCTCACCAACCAATCTGTATCTGTCTTGCCGCGTTTATCTAAGCTATGCAACTTGTCCATATTACGAGGTGCTTCCGAAATTGGTTGAAAACAACCAAACTACCGAAGCACGCAATCAGTAGAGTGTCACTCGACGGTCGCATAACAGATCAGAGGGACAATCGCTATACAAACATCTGATGGGCCCCTCAACTCAGGTGGGATCACCGCCCTCATATCATCAGTACAATATACACCCATTCAAACTAAAACAAATCTTATATAATTTTTTATTAAAATAATAATCTAATTATATAACTATAATCTAAAATTAATTTTTAAACATTAAAATTCATACATGTGTGCCAGCCTTCTGATTGATTAGCACCTTAATTTTTTTTAAATCATCAGGTAGTTCCTGATGATTTTTACTATTAGTAGACCACCTATTCAAGGAAAAAAATTATTATACGCTGTATAAAATTATTAATATACAAAATCAATTTTATAATTACCTCAGAAGTAGTGGAAATACGAATGTGTTCTTCACAACGGGACATAAAAAAGGCAATCAATACCATGCCTAAGACTGCAGGAGCAGGAGATCCGCCGATAACATTACGCCTGTAGTCAGTGGCTCCACACATCTCTCTGTACAGCAAAGCCAAAACTGCCGAGCCACAACTGAATGATCCAGCCAGACGAAAGTCGCTAAGATGTCGCAACCACATGCAGTGAACTAGGTTGCGCGATTTGTCCGGCATCAGCAACCTTCCTATCAACTGCAGTATACATGCCCGTACATACATCTTAACTTCATCCTCAGAGGCGTCTGCGCTCAACTCCCGAAAATTGACATCTAACCAATTTAACGGTATCCTACCTCCGATAAAACTTTCCGGGACACGTCCTAGATTTTCCCGGCACAAAGTAGTCCAAGAACCGGAAACTATCCCTGATATCACATCTCCATCCACCGGAAGCCTCAGGTGCATAGAAACATCTTCAAGCGTGAACGTGCACTCTCCGCACGGAAGATGAAATGTGTGGGTCTCCGGCCTCCACCGCTCTACTAAGGCAGAAATAAAGTATGGTTCTATCTTACAGTGACCCTGATATCTACCTATGTAACCAAATCCAGCCTCTACTAAATACAGCAAGACACGGCTATGTATCACTAACTTAAGATTCCTAATAAAAAAAATCTAATATACGATCTTTCTCCTAAAATTAAATAATTACAAAAAATTAATTCTTAATCTAATAATCATGCATTAAATAAATCAAAAATTATTACTAATAATTAAAATTAAATTAAAACGTTAAAATGTTACCGTATCAGCAAAGTATCGAGATATATGATTTACATCTAAGTGAAGTAGACCACCTTCCATTATATATCTGCAAAAAAATTATATTAGTAAAATATTAAATAAAGTAAAATACTTAAATAAATTAAATACATAATATTAAAAATATTATAAAATAAATCTTAAACGAGAGAGTATTTGAGAGAATTTGGTGTGATGAAAGTGATTGAGGATGAGGTATATATAGGGAAGGGTGGGGTGTGAAAGGCCGGGTTATTAAAGCTATAGCTCGCCTCCTGCACCGCGCTATACCCCACGTGTCAGATAAATAGGTATAGCGCGGAGCAGGGGAGCGCTATAACCACGTGTAACCCAGTCAGCATATAGCGCGGTGTAGGGGGCGCGATATACCCCACGTGACGCCAAATCAACATATAGCGCGAGTCAGAAGGCGCGCTTTACTGCTACGGGTGTTAGATCGAGAAATATAATATGACAGGTGTTAGATCGATAAATATACCGATCACCGGTGAAATTTCAGGAAAAACGCCCAATTTATGTTGTCTTCAATCACTTCTCATAAATAAAAAAGCATAATATGTCTAGTCTAAGAAACATGCAATCCGTAGCTCAAAAGCTAGAAAACAATAAGTCCAGTGATTCTTTTGGCGCCAGCTAACCCTTGTTCTATTGGTTAGGTGGTTTCTACCAAGATGCTTTCTTTATGCCCATCAAAGAACCTTCAGAGGCTAATCCACGAAACACGATACGAGAAATTTGAAAGAACGAATATACGGAACGAGATTCTACAAACAAATTCTTTACTTTTCCTAGGACTACAAACATGTACATTGGAGATGCTAACTTACCAGAAATCGAGCCGAGGAAAAGACCGACAAAGTAACATCCTAGATAGCTAAGAATGAGAAGTTTCTACCAGACAAATTGATAAAACCACTACTTCTCTATTGAATGCAAGGACACTACAAAACAGACAACAGATGTATATTTTTATACTTGATTTTCAAATGGATCCTTCCTATTACTTCAAATTTCAATCCTCAAATGCACACAAAGTATAAAAAGTAATCTCTTCAACTTGCAACAGGAGATGTAGGAATCATTCAGAAATCCAACAAGACCAAAGAAGAGAACTCAAAAGGTTAAGCAGAACCAATGAGCCAAAACAAAAAGGAAAAGCACCTAAGTTGTAGCAAATCCAGTTCTCGTCGAAGCTCAATAATAAACAAACCAGAAAGCAAGTAATGTAAAAGATTGAAATCACAATACCTTCCGAAAGCGAAGCATAGCCACGGCGAGAAACAGAGCGCATCGAACTCGTCAAAGCCGAAGCAGTCGCAGAGTGATACGGCAGCACCGATTGCAAACCGAGACTCGCTTCAACCGGACACCTTTTAACACCCAAAACCAAGAGAGAATTTCCTTTATATATAGTAAAAAAATTTGATTTTTTTGCTGCTATTTTAAGTTGAAAGGCAAACCTGAAAATGGAGTTGGAGAGAGGAATCCTTGAGGAGACACGAAACAGCGATGGTGCAGCTCTGGATTTTGGGGCGAGTCCAGCTGCAGCGTTGCGAGCAAAACTTGATCGGAGAACTGATCTTGCGCCGGCCAAAAACGATGTCATTGGCATCTTTTCGGGATGATTTAGGTACCGAAATATCAAAAGATTTACCTTTCTCTTCCTGCTGCTGCTGCTGCTGCAAGGAATAGGGTTTTGGAAGTTTTTCCAGTCAAGGCGAAGCGGGTAAACGATAATGGGCCAAAGGCTAAAAAAAAGAAGAAAGAACCCTTTTTTATTCGTAAAAGTTACGGCCCAATAATATTTTATTATCCTGCTGAAGGCTACCTACTTTACTGTAGTGTTCATCAAGGGCAAAGGAAAGGGCAAAAGCCTCGACCTTTATAATTCATTAGATGCAACCAAACGATTTTTTGGGAGCTCTTGAAGAAGGCAATGGCTTCTCTGTTCAAGGTATGTTATTTGCTTCACAGCTGCTTTCAATGTAAATTACTAGATGATAATTTTTCTCTAATTTTTTGGTGTTAAAATTATAGGACCCAGCTAAGCTTTCAGCGTACCGTGACAGAAGATTCAATGGCACTCAAGAGGAATTCGAGCAAACACTCCTCAATTCGACCACCGTCTATATTGGAAACATGTCTTTTTACACTACCGAAGAACAAGTTTACGAGCTTTTCTCCAGAGCCGGTGAAATTAAGAAAATAATCATGGGCCTTGACAAGAACTCTAAAACACCTTGTGGATTTTGCTTCGTCTTGTAACTCTCTTTTCCCCGTAAATTTTGCTAATTTTCATCTTACAGCTCTTAATTGGTTGCTGCGTTTTTTTTTACATCAGGTATTATTCTAGGGAAGATGCAGAGGATGCTGTTAAATATATTAGCGGGACTATTCTTGACGACCGCCCGATTCGTGTAGATTTCGATTGGGGATTTGTTGAAGGAAGGCAATGGGGCCGTGGTCGAAGCGGCGGCCAAGTAAGTTCTTTTTGTTTTGCCTGCAACTTTGCAAATGCTTGATTCAATGCATATATTGATGAAAATTTACATTGTTTTGTCTTGTAGAATTGGATGTATAGTTTTGGACTAGTATAATATGGATCTATGATATGTAAAATGGGATGAAGAGTATTGCTAAACTTCTATTTCTCGTTTTACATTTATGCAGGTACGAGATGAATATCGAACTGATTACGATCCTGATATCCTTTCAACTGTTTGTTTGAAATTTGATTCTTGTAATTTCTTATTTTGTTCCGAAACTAAAATAAGATGCATAAGTATATTAATACTGAAGTCTAATATCAGTTCAGAATTTTGGATAATCACTTGTTTCGTCGCTCGTGAGATCTTATGCATTGAGAAATACGATCATTGATTCCTAAATAAAGCATTGTGATGTCTTCAGAATGCTTTTTTGTCTATATATTGTCTCCCACCTTAACGCGCTATACGTAGAGGTGGCTATGGAAAATTAGTTCAAAGAGAGTTGGAAGCACAAAGGCAGCTTGTAGATTATGGTGCTGGGTCCTTGGGCTCTTTCCCACCTGTTATGGCCCCTCAGTGTGAGTTCCTACATACTTCTGATTATAGATCTACATAGTTTGCATTTTGTTCGTCTCATAAAACCATGAAGTTGCCTATTGTTTTCTGCTCGTTTTAAAATATGGATCTATAGACTCTAGTCCGCATGCTCTATATTAAAGAACCGAGAAAAAGATAAGCTAATGGTTCAAATGAAAACTGGAAGATGATGAGTGGAGGGGGAAAATGTTTGGCTCTCTTAGTTTATACAAATTTCATTTCTACTCATCATTTGTTCCCTGCATGGTTTAACCTTTTGTACCGAAGAAAAAATCTCCTGGATACCATTTTAACTTTGTGTTTATAGAATTCTCTGTCCATTCATGTGCATTTGTTGTTGTTTTGGGTGTTTATATGCTCGGAGAAAAGATAAAACATACTGACATGTTATATAATTACAGATGGAAGGCATGGTGGTCCTTATCGTCATGGGAGAGGTATTTATCTTTGAATTGCATGTCTAATCATTCTTGTCATGTAGACACCTGCTTAAGCCATTCATGGACTTGATTGATTGTTTATAAAGCAGATTACCATCGGAAGCGACACCGAGAGGATGACCGCTATTTACGCGAGTCCTCAAAGAGATCCACGGATCATGAATCCAGGAGAGCCTCTGACCATGACTCTAGACCGGTAATGCTTCACCACACTATTTTTGAGTTATTATTGTACCTCTACTTGCTCTTAATTATATATGAGCCGTCAGGAGACACTTTGGGGTGCAGATGGATGCTTTAGATAAAATGCTTAAGATAAAATGCTTTTAGGAAAGGAGGAAGAAAATTTAAAATTAAACTAATAAAAGATGATATGATGCTAATTGCATTTTCCAGTGTCAATGTCGTTTTCACTTTTACATTCTGTTGCACATTTTAAACCATAATTTTGATTCAAAAGGAGAAGAATCCACGTTTCCGGGAGAGTGGTGATTCTGATGATGAAGAAGAAGATGATCGTAAGCAACGGCCTTAACGGATAATTTATGTCTTACGAAGTGTAATATCCGGGTGAGGAATTGTTGGTATTTTCATGCAGTTGTAAGAGGTGCTCCAGATGTAGAACGTTTAGGGTTTTCATGCTACAATATAACACCAAATGGTGCTGCTTTTGCGCTTGACTTGTGATTTTGGGCAGTATGCTGCAACCGTCTTAGATGTTGGTTTTAGGCATTTGTTGTATGTTTAAAGTTAAGTAATGAATTTTCTCTCTTTGCAACTAATGTGATTTCTTTTTGTTATATTGGCCTTGATTCTGCATTTCAAACTGTACTAATGTTCACTGTAGCATTTTGATAATACAAGTTAGTACCCATTAAGCGACCTCCTCAGTAGTTCAAGAGAGTATTATTCTCTTTAAAAAAATTAGGTCCAAGCAATTACATTTGTATGGTACGGTATATATACATTCATTGTCAATTGATTGAGAAAACTCTTAATAGATAATCAACAGAGAACTGCAGATTCGCAGTGTTGATCTTTGTTCAAAGTGCAGTTTCTGAGGACACATTTACATGCAACTCACTCGACCTCTTTGATGATTCTCCTTTTACGAACCGGTTCAGTCACTATACTTCCAAGGGCACTGTGAGCTTTCCTTCTTTGTTCTTTCCTCCTTTCTGCTTCAATCATAGTGCGTCTGAGGTTGGCCGCCTTGTAAACTGGTCTTGGCAAGTGCCTGTGCCTGCACAATCATAACCAACACAGTGGCATTAAAAACTTAATACAACATTATTTGTATTCATCAAAGATAACATTAAAAAAGTCCCCTGCTCCATGTTTCATTCTAAGTTGATGAAAACACAGTACACTGGAAACAAAAACCTGGCCTAATATAAAAAAATACCAGGAGGTGAAAATAGGGCTTGATAAAAATTTCCTAAGTGCAGTTCAAAAATCCTTAAAATGCCCAGACTAGGTAAACACCAAAAAAAAGGAACGGCAATATGGACATTTTATTGACATTGTCACGAGTTTATAAATGTGAACCAAATCTTCAGTTTCAATTTTACCTCGCAATACGCTTGACTTCAGGCAGGTGCTTGTAGCGATTCTTAACAGCTTCAAGCTACTCATGTTTCTTTCTTTCCCTTGGAAGTACCTGCATAGGGCAGAAGAATGGATGATCATGAGATACTTAAGTGAGATGGAATAGGATCCGACCGTGACAATGAATATCCAAGAAGATCCCATCTTAAAGCAGCTACAACTGAAAATTGGAATCAAAAGAAAGAGTTTGGACCCTAAACAGACCAAATATTCTCTGCTATAAACGTTAATTCAGTTGATAAGACAGCCTCAACAAATTTCACAATAGCTAGGAAATATGATTCAAGTGGAGAAATCCCAATGAATCATGTCAAATGAAGAGATTCTTACTACTCCCAATTGTTCTGATGCTTTAGCTTTCCAGACCCTAAGGTTGGTATCATCACTTCCCGAAATGACATAACTGGCATCACAGCTATACTTGACACAGAACACCCTAAAAGGAGAGGGAAAGCAATCAGAAACTAATAACAGATTCAATAAACTGAAAATTCCTTATTAGATCCTTATTATATCTAAAAAGTTGGAAATTAAACCTTTGCATTCTCTTTGTATGGTAGATTTCTCGACTGTGACCACCATTATACTGGAAAATTCTGACCTGTAGAAAAAATGTTTAGACACTAACAATGCCCCTGGTGAACAAAAACAGTGGACAAAAAAGAGAAAAGAAAGACTCAGTTCTATCATAAGATCCCGTTACAAATTCCCGACCAGTTGGTGAGAAATCAATATCCATTCTGGAAAAAAGGAGAGAACTTAATATTTTCAACAAAATATATTACTTAAACAAGCAACAAGTCTACAGGTCGTACACTGCAGAAACATGGTCTTTGTGCACACACTTGGCCTCCTCCAGTTTTCTAGCATCATAGCTGTAGCAATTGCAATCCTCATTTGCCTGCATTTAAAAGAGATCTTCAGAACAAATAATTCGTTCCTTTTTCTCTCCTTTTATTTGCCAAAAAATATCAAATAACATATAAGAATTGGCAGAAGCATCCGTAAGAAAATGTCACCATATGTTTTAAGAAAAGAAACTCCAACTTGTTTGCCCTTACCGCAGTGAAGTTCATAGGCTCCATTGGGTTCCAAGCAATAGAATTGGTTTTCGTCTGTAACAAAATAAAAATCAGATTGCCTTTGATGAATCATCGATTTTACAGTATTACTGATAAGCAATCACTAAAAGCAAAATTCCAACCATTGACTACTAAAAGAAAGTATTCCGCATTAGATCTGCATTTAACAAGTTATACATCTCTTTTAAGGAAAACCACCACCATTTATAATTAAATAAAAAGGGAACAAAAGGTTCATATTTGCAATAAAAATTATTTGATTATCCTCTCATACAAGAATACCAATTCCCTGTTTTCATACAAGAATACCAATTCCCTGTTTTCATACACAATGTATCAAGAATTACCCTCATAATAACTTTCCTTGCTGGGGATGACATCCGCAGATCATACAATGTTATGCTCCGGTCACTAAAAACAGGAAAAGAAAAATGAATGCAAATAACCATAAATTCTTTATAATACATACTAAAACACTGAAAATGAGAAGATACAAAAACCTAGATTAATGCACATTAATCTGCATAGCTGATTAACATGATATAGACAAATTGCAATCACATTGAAAAAAATTATTCCCAGAAAGGCTCTAGCTAAATTTCTTGCTTCATTAAAGAGCAAAACAACTACGAATGACTAAACAGCAACTAAGAATAACACCCTTGTTCCTAGCCAGCTCCTCTAGTTGAAAGAGAATCGCCCTTTCCAACAAGGGAGCAGACATAAGAAACAGTGAAACACCAGTTCCAATGCTCAGTATGATAAAAAGGAAGTTGGTAGGGCCAGTAATATTATTTTGAGTATTTATGCTTTGAAGCGAAAAGTTTGGAAAATGACTTACGGAAACATGAGATGCTAGATTATGTTTAGTATAATTTGACCTATCAATATGAACATCATTGTTCTGTTCCAGTCATCTATTTCAACTTTCTTGGATAGAGCATACAACGATTAGAAAATCAAACGGTTTGAACTCTGCAGTTTGCATCATTATTCAATTTATATCAAACATCCACAGGTACTTAGCTGATGTTGCCAAGATATTTGGCTCTCCTGGATTAAATCGAATAGATATTGTGGTGTCTGCTCCCAATCAAACGTGTCACTGGCTGAGACCTAATTAAGGAAAGCCACAAACTCATAAACAAATATATAAATCTGCATTATGCAGAAGGAAAAAGGAGAAAAAGAAAAAGAAAAGAAAAAAATAAGATGCAAGGAGATCAAAACCTATTGTGATTCCATATATCTACTTGAGCACCAGCTGTGGCAAAGAGATCACCATCCCACTGATGATCAACAGCACTGAAAAGAAAAAGGTAAATATTACAGTTTACACCTGAGAAGAAAGAAAAAAACAGAAACCATAGCCCACAAGAAGAAAAGGCCAAAAGAATATAGATATTTTCTGACAAGTCGTGATCCTTACCGGAATGCATTCTTCCAAACGTAAACTGCTTGCGGCTGAACAATACAAGTTGTAGATAGATTAGGATGGTAGCAATGAAATTCTTGGTTTAAAAAAAAGATAGAAAGTGAAAAGGGGACAGGTCAGGGTTTAGGAGAAGGAATTAAGAGAGGAAGAACTATAACCAAAACCTATTGCTTTTTCAGAAATACAACAATATATGAAGAGACAAACCTTGGCTGAATTATCAGAAAGGCTATCTGAATCAGCAAGATTGGCATCAGAAACATTCCAGAGCCTAACACTGAAAACCCAAACAGAATAGAAAAGTGAAAAAGTTTAGTTGCTACTTTCAGATAGAAACTGTGTTTAAATTCCAGCTTAACCAACTTCCACACCATATTGAAAATCAAATTAAACTATTAAAATTTGGGTCTTATGTGCAGTCACTTCCACATGACACAAGAATGCTTCCATCTGTCGATACTGTCAAACCTTGTACAGCACCTTGGTGACCAGGAAAATGACAAACTGTTTGCCTTTAAATCAATTTTTCAAAAATAAATGTCAACCGCGATTCATTTTAAATAATAATGCAACAAACTACAAACTATAAAAAATCTATCAAAGGTGAAGAAAAAAATGTTACTAAATTGATATTTGACTTCACAATTGCTACCAATCATTGTAGTAATGCAACAAAAATTGTATATATATATATATATATATATATATATATATATATATATATATATATATATATATGTACTATGAATACCTGGAAGCTATGTCCCACAGTCGGATATCTGTAATGATGGGAGATGAGAACTTAGAATCTTTCGCAGCAACTTCATTAAAATTTGGTACTACTGATATTAAATATATAAAAATTACCTCCGTCGTCAGAACCAGAAAAAATTGCTTTCAAATAATTAGGGTTCTTAGCCATACACTTGATGGAATCTCTATGACCATCCATTGCTCCAATAAACGGTTTGCGAAAATCTAAACAAAATAATCAAAAAGTGGGTGAAATTTAGATATAAAAAAGATAAAAAAAAATAATTCAATCCTGAATTGTGAATGTACCTTGTCCAATTTGGCGGCATTAAGAGCACGGACGTACTCGACTGCTCTCTCTTGGGATCGTAGGCTGGGGTCGAAATTACGAAACACCCTCTGCAGGTCTTGGCTTCGTTCTCGAGTGAACTCATCTGTGGAGCGCGATATGACTTTCACCTTCATTCTCTCTCTCTCTCTCTCCAGAGAATCTCAGTCCTCAGAAAGAAAAACCCTAATGGCTTGGAGAGACGAACTTACACCCTAGAACCAGAAATACAACAGAGGAAAGCAAGGTCCAAACGGCTAGAAGATTTCGCCTCGACTTGATAGACTGGGTTTAGTTAAATAAAGCCCAATAAGAGGTCCACCTCATCTTTACTCTTAATTTTCGACTTAATATATAATTTTGGCTAAATTATGCGTTTAGTACCTAAATTATTAGTTTTTATCCGTTTTAATAACTAAGCTTTCATTTTTTAAAGTATACCTAACATTTAGTTTTTGTTTCATTTTATTACCCACCATTAAAAACTTAACGGACAGGCTCGACGACCGTTGCTTCTACAGTCATCGATCGTCGCATCCATTGACTGATGGAGCCCAAACTTTTCAAGTGGCACCTTTTCGACCCCTAAACGTGATTATGGCCTTCGTTTCACCAGGAAACGCCTCAATCTCCTCAAATTGATGACGAACTCTTCGATTTATTCATCCTCTGATCCCTATGGTCCACTATCCGATAGGCCTGAAATTGAACTATGTTGGTCGATCCATCATTCTCTATTGGTCCACTATTTGGAATGGTTATCCATCCACGTCCGTTAAGTTTTTAACGGCGAGATACTAAAATGAAACAAAAACTAACTGTTATGTATGATTTTGAAAAAATTAAAAGTTTAGGTACTAAAACAAACTAGAAAATATAGTTTAAATACTAAACGCATATTTTACCCTATAATTTTATACTAAACTCGTTTACCTCAAATTGGTAACTAGATTTTGATTTAATTTTTAAATTGGTACTTAAATTATAATTTTTTTGTCAAATCGATACATGATATTGATGTGGTATTTTAAAAATTCATCAGATCATGACATAATACATTCAATGATGTTACTATTTTAACATATCAATATCATGTCACCAACATAATTAAATTTTAAGGTGTCGAGTCAATACAAATCTATAGTTTGAAATTTAAAAATAAGTCAATTATCAATTTTATAACAAAATCAATAAATTTAAAAATCGTTTTATATACTACATCTTTAATTTTAGAGGGATAAAGATATGAATAAATATTTCAAACAATGCCAATAGAATTAAAAAGGTTTAACATATGACTTTCACCATGTTGCTTCTCTCCCCGCAAATCCAAAAGTAATAGATTTGATCCTTCCTTTGATTTTTGTTACTAAAGCACTAATATATGAAGAAAAAAATTCTCGGATGAGTAAGATAGTTTAATAATGGATAAAGAGTATAAACTATTAATCTGTTTTGTTTTAGTCACTGATATTTTCTTAATTAACATTATGTTTTTATTTTATTTCGGCCACTTGAAATTAATAGATATGACAATGTTATCAATTATGATATTAAATTTAGTCTCGAATTTTATATATATAGATCTTGTTTTCAAAATTCATCAAATTTAATTCTTAATTGATAAAATTGATACGACATATAAGTCGAAATCAAGTCCAAGTATGTGAAACTGTGTGGTCTTATATTCATTTTGATTTGTAAAGCATAAATAACAAAACACAACCGACGCTAGAACAATAATAAACACAAGAAAGACTCTCCACAAACCTTAGTCTCCCTCGTCTTCAAAACATATGGACCACTATCCCAAACTCTGTTTTTTTTTTCTTTCACTCGTAAAATGATTAATCAATATCTAGGGGGCGTGGCTGAGGGGGCATGGCTGAGCGACCGCATAGGGCTCCCAAAAAATAGGGGCACCGAATCGAATATATTTATCAGTTGTTGCCATTAATAAGTATAAAAATAAGGGTCCTTAAATCAAATATATCTATCAGTTGTTGTCATTAATAAGTATAAAAATAAAGGTCCTTAAATCAAATATATCTATCGGTTGTTCCCATTAATAAGTATAAAAATAGAGCCCCGAAGTCAATATATCTAAAAAATAGGACCCTTTATAAGAATTTGCACATAGCCCTTTATACCTAGCCACGGCCCTGTCTAGGGCACAGACTCTTCTTGCCTCTCCTGGTTCTCAAACTCTTCCATCGAGTTGAACTCGTTTGAGTTCTCTGTATTCCATAGTAACCTCCATTTTTACTAGCTTCATAGCTCGATGAATACTCATATCCAGTAGGGTAGTAATTATCGTTCTTCACATCATGATAATACTTACCACCTTCCACAAATCTGGTGTCACTCATTCCTTGTCTCTCGGTTTCGTAACCATTATTGTTATACTTGCTGAGTTTATATCCATTGTCGTTGTAGTTGCTGTTGGTGTAGCCGTTGTTGTTGTAGCTGCTTTTCTCGTAGCCGGAGTCGTATTTTTCATCTGCGAACTCCTCGGCGAAGAGATCGTTTTCGAAAGTGGAAGTAGTTGTGGGAGTGTTGCTGGTGGTGACACCCTCTTTTGAAGGGGGAACATGCCCGAGCCGTGACCATAAAGGCCGTAATAAGGATCTTGGCTACCGATGTTAGCGGGTGCCGTTGCGGGTGCTAGTACTGGTGCTACTGCCGGTGATGGTGTAGGTTCCACTAGAGCAGAAATTTTGGCCCCGAGGTTGATGATCTTGCTATAGAACTTACCCTCCCTGGCTTGAATCCGGACGGAGGAAGAAAGCACGATAAAGAATAACAAAACAATGTGCTTTGCAACGGAAGCCATGGCGAGGAAATGAGTTGATGGTGGGAAGCTGCCATTAGTTACCAAGTTTGTTTTATAGACATTGTTCCCGCGGTCATGGCCGGAAAATCTTGCGCCAATTGAGGAAAACGAGATATGTGGTGGGGGAAGAAAATAATGATGAAAAAGTAGCATATGTAGCATGTGCTTCTCTTTAGAATGCCTAACTATTAATACATGTATCAAGTATGTTGTTCATACACTATACACTATAATATTTATGGGCAAGGTTAATAGCTAAATTAGGTTTATAGTTATGAGATGATTAGTTAGTTAGAAAGAACAAAACATGTTTGTTGCAACCTAGTGAGTGCTACTTCTTTTTTTAATGTTGAAGGAAGAATTTAGATGGTAATTTGTTGGCATAATTAATGGTCGGAAAGCTTGAAACTCAACCCCACAATAATATTTCCTATTCTGGAGCTGCCTTTTGGGGGCCTAACATTTTGACATTTTAAAAGTCCATTTCCAGAATGATAAAGAAGGGAAAATGGCATTCAGTCAGGTGGGAGGGAGCCATATTCAAACTTACACAATGTTTGCTATGCATTAATGTTGATGTGTTTTGGATTTATGGATAAAAATATATATTTTTCAGCGGTGTTAATAGTTAAAAAATAATATTATTTAATTAGAGATTTTGAATTCAAACAATTGTATTTATTGGATGTGTGTATATTATCAATGATTTTAAGAAAAAAAATATAAATAAATATTACCTTATAATTATCACATATTATTCAATAATATATATATATATAATAATAATAATAATAATAAAAGCTATATATACAGATAAATATACCTCGATTACTTACCTATAAAATGTTTATATGCGAACAGAATATAAAAACGATTAATTAGATGTAATAATTAATCTACTGATTATTATTTGATGCAATAGTAAAAACATTGAATTTAATTTAAAATATAAGATGTTTGAGCCAAATTATATGAATCGATGTGCACAGATACATGTCAGATTAATACAACAATTTGACATGCTGGTTGGATATTTAGGTTTTATTATATAGGTTTCGGTTATGTATTGGGTTGGGTTTAGTTGGTATAATGTAATTTGGTTTGCGTTTAAATAAAATTAATTTGTTATCAAAAGATTATTATATCTTTTCATAACCATCAAGTTTGACACATTGATTAATTAATACAAATAAAACATTGTAAAATCTCAATAATGTAGATGGCTCTTTCAATCTGGTTTGTTCTATTATCAATAATCTTATATAAATGACCTAACACTCCATAACATTGGATCATCTTTAAAATAAAAAAAATAATACCAAAATAAAAGAATAAAATTATTAAAAAACTATTAAAATTAATATTTAAAATTCATTTTCTTAATTATTCAAAAAGTGCTATAGGTTAACCAAAAGTAACTTTTAAATAATTTTTATTTTTAAAAATTTTATGCTTTCCTATATATATATATATATATTAATTTTTGTAGTTTAAAAACTAAATTATGAGACTTTGTAAAGGTTGAAGACTAAATCTGTCATTACTCCACTTTAAAAACACCACGTCATCTTACCCTTAACTGCAGGGTGATTAAAATGAGCAAATTATCCAATAGTGGTGGTGACCAAAATACATATTTTTTCAATGAGTAGAATAAAAGTTTAAAAGATGATTATTTATATAGTCTACTTAAATAATTTTTTGGAAAAAATATATTGTAATTAGGGATGGGCATGGTTCCGACCCGACCTGACCCGATCAGGTCGGATTTTTTATATATAAAAAATGCAGGTTCGGATCTAGTTCGGGTTTAGGATAAAAATTATCCGATCTGACCCGACCTCCAAAAAAACATAATTTTACTTATATATTTAGGAATAATTACAATAATACCCCCTCTATATATTTTTTCAATTAAATCACTATTTTTATTGAATAAAATAATATTTTTATTATTATTTCGGGTCAGGTCGGATTCATATTTTATCTCAAAAATTCGGATCGATTCGGATTAGGTGGAGGGTATATATTTTTCGGGGTGGGTCGGGCCGGGTGAAGGATAAACAAATTTCGAGTTGGGTCGAGTTGGCCGAAACCCAACCAAACCCGATCTATGCCCAACCCTAATTGTAATCTGAATTTTTTTAAAATAACAAGTTTTTGTCGGGGCAAGAAAAATTTGTTTTCTTTACATCTTTGTCCTTTTGCAGTTGCACTACACTGAATGATGGAAATACGTTGTTATAATGTAGGTGAAGAAAAACCAAACCAAATAATTTGGTTTGATTTGATCGGCCACGTTTTTTCTCCCCCAAATAATTCAAGCTGTCATAATAAAGTATTTATTTAAAAAAGTTTAATTAATTGACAACACATATTTTACATAAATAATTATTCAAATTCATATTTTTTTTAAAAATAATATTTAATTTTCTTTTACTTAGTTCACTCAACGGATTCCGGGCATTTCCCCTCCTAACCATACAGACAGAAGGCAGTCAATATATAACATTGCACGTCTGCGTTTACATTTTTACCGTGTTGGGCTAAGTTCTGCAGATCAAAAACTTCCCACGGATCTGCTAGCTGCAAACAACAGAGCATAATTTCGGTGGTCTTTGCCTATAATTGTGTTGTATTTGATTGATGTAACACTATTTTCAACCAATGCAACTAAGTTGATTATAATCCCCGATTTATTGTCCTTATTCATTTAAACAATTAATGTTAGATCTAACCGTTGAAAATGACTCAAGTGGGTGATTAAAGTTGTTATTAATCAGCCAACTGCTGGTTCTTATAGGGTAGAAAGTATTGGGAAAACGAGTGGTAGTGCACTGTGCTGTCTCTTGTTTGGGGTATCAAAATCTCTAAATTTCCCCCTTTTTTACCAAACAAAAACAATTAGAAGATGTAGAGGGAGTGTAATGAGCATCAGCATGTAGCGTTGTCCCTCGACCCCCCTGCTTTTGCCTATTCACGTGCGTGGAAATTCCTTACTTCACTCGCATTAGCTGTAATGAGAATCCCATAACTAACTACCATCGTTAGGAATCCTACAATTTTGACCCATTCAACATCTACTTTTCATTTAAGCTTTATCGTCACTTGACAATTGAGAAGATGGAAATTAGACCCCACCTTCTGCCCTCTTACAATTCAATCTTCACTGGTTCCAGTTCCACCACTCTATCTATGGATGATTTTAATTATAAATAAACTATATTAAAATAATTATAAATAAACTATATTAAAATAAATAATTGGTATCCCCTTCACATAGACCAGAGAGTATACTGTCTTATTACCCATTTTTCATATTTACCATTATGTATTTTTGTTCCCAAAGACTATAATTATTTTTAATAAATTTCTAAATTCCTTCAACTTTTAATAAATAGACGCACATTATGCATTTAATCATCCCAAGCCCGTAATTTTACGAATTTCAAACATATTGATGGATAAAATTTTATAAAATATATTTACTAATTGGAAAAATAAATATGCATCTTATTTATTAGTTAAATATGTATATATATATATATATTTATATCTGTTCATTCAAATCTTACACCATAAATTTTAAGTTTTATAGTTTTTCTCTTAACTCTCAAATAAAATATAAGATAAATTTTGTATTTAGTCATCCACTTGTTTCTATAGTTCCGTTTTGATCATCAATTTTTTAAATCATATTTAACATTTCGTTTTGGTCACCCAAGGTTAAAAAAATAACTATGATGATGATATGTTACCACATGTAATATCACATTATCATTGAAAAAATTCCACATTAATACTTTTGTTTAATTTTTTGACAATATATGATCAAAACGAAATAAAAACGTAACGTTAGATATTATTTTAAATAATAATAATAATATGAACAAAACGAAACCACATAAGTTATTTGATGACTAAATACTTAGTTTACCCTAAAATATGACAATATTTAAACACATGGCAATGTATTTATAAGGGTAAATTATTCATTTAGTATATAAACTATTACTTTTGTTATGATTTACGGAAGTTTTATTTTTTTTAAAATCATATCTAACATTTAGTTTAAGTTTTAATTTGGTATCCTACCGTTAAAAACTTAACGGTGATGTTGACGTGTCACCATAAGGTAACGTCACATCATCATTGAAAAATATTAAGAAACACCATGTCATAGTTCAGTTAATTTTCTAATAACGTGATATCAAATTGAAACATAAACTAAATGTTAAGTATGATTTTGAGAAAAATAAAGTTTTAGTACCAAAATGAAACAAAAGTAATAGTTTATATACTAAAAGTATAGTTTAACCTAATTATAAACACATATGTCAGTAACAGTATACGTAAAATTATGCAGAGGAAATAAATTGTTTTCCAAAAAGCAATGTGATTAGTACTGTCTTTTAGACTGTCGGAATTTTGGGATTGTCTCATGCAGGTTAATATACGGTCAATATATGGTGTTACCGGATACATTTTAATATATTTAATAAATTTGATTTAGCGCTATTTGAAATATCGAGTAATAACAATGTTATAGGTGGAAATCATGAAGAAAATATTAAAAAATTTGGCAACCGACAAACTTAGCTTGTCGGTTTGTGTCGATACAAATTAAAAATGTATCGATCCATAGCAATATAACAGGTAAAAATATGATAAAATCGGTGTCATTAAGATAAAACCGATAAAGCGCTACCGGATATGTTGAAAGTGTCGATAAATTAATATAAGTGTCGACACTTTTGTAATTTAAAAGAGAAGAAGTTATAGTGCCTAAAAGGTATCGATACTTTATAAAAATGTGTCGATCCATAGCAATATAACAGGTAATAATATGAAAAAACAGGTCTCGAAATGATAAAACCGGTAAAAACTACCGGATATATTGAAAGTGTCGATAAATTAATATAAGTATCGACACTTTTGTAATTTAAAAGAGAAGAAGTTATAGCGCCTGAAAAGTGTCGATACTTTATACAAATGTATCGATCAATAGTAATGTATCCGGTAATAATATGACAAAAGAGGTCTCGAAATGATAAAACCGGTAAAAAGATATCGGATATATTGAAAGTGTCGATAAA